TGACTAAGATGTCAGCACTCTGTACAGCCATGTTCTCCAAGGCTCATCCCGAGCTAACCACGGTCTACCTGTTCCCAAGAAGGGGACGCTGAGACTTGAAGAAAATCAGCTCAGGGCTGTCTAATAACTGGGGCTGGGGTCTCAACCCACCTCCTATTCTACCTCCCAGCTTAGTATCTGTCAGTCTGCCTCTCTTCTTGATATTATTAGAGTGTCTTATACACCTAATGATCAGGAGGTATAGTTTTCAGCATGACTTGTTTGTTTGGGCTCAACCTAGCCTTCTTGGAAGTGCTCTGCTAATTATCTGGGAGGGATCATATGAGGGAAAGAATCTGAGCCCCCGATGAATCTTCCTACTGATAGGAAGTATGTATTTCTGTGTCCCAGCATGGCAGAAAAGTGGCTGCTGCACGTTTTTAGACCACTCTTCTCCAGCAGGGCTCTGAGGAGTCACCAGACGTGTGCTATGAGAGTCCCCAGACAGCTGTCCTTTATGACGTGTGCTTTCCAGATTCGTTAGAACGTGCAGGGGTGTGTGACAAAGTGAGGAGGCATGAACTGTGAAAGCAGGTGACCCTTTGTGGATGAGCCTGGGCTCACGCAGGAAAGGGGCGTTGTTGGGGCGTTGGCTCTCGAAGAGGCTCCAGGGTTGGTTGCCCTCCCAGTTGCCAAGGACCGGAGTGCTCTGCCTGACAATGAATTTCCCTGACCAAGCTCTGCTGTGGTTTGTGTGTGTGTGTGTGTGTGTGTATGTGTGTGTGTGTGTGTGTGTGTGTGTGTGTGTGTGTGTGTGTGTGTGTGTGTGTGTGTGAGAGAGAGAGACTTCCAGGCTTTCCATAGAAAGGTGTTCAAATCAGTCTGTCCCAGTAAGCAGCAGCACTCACACACTAGCGGTGGTGAGGGTTTGAGCTGAACTGTGGGCAGTGCCACAGTCACTTGGTAATACTTCCTGTATCCCAAGCCTTACAAGCTCCAAGGCTTCCTGGAGGGGGATCTGCCATATGCACCTTAAGATCCTTAGGGTCTGAATTAGTTACTCCGTTCGTGACTGAGACCAAATACCTGAAAAGCAGCAGCTTCTGGGAGGAAGGAGTTCCTTTGGCTTACAGTCCATCATGACCGAGAAGGCATGAAGGCAGGAGTGAGAGACGACTGGTCACATTGTATCCACAGCCATGAGTGCTGATCTCTGCTTGCTTTCTCTCTCTCTCTTTTTTTTTTTTTTTATTCCATCCAGGACTTCAGCAGGTGGAATAGTACCACCCACATTTAGAGTGGGTCCTCTGACCTCATTTAACCAAGTTTAGAAACTCACTCACAGGTTTGTCTTCAAGGTGATCTTAGATCCTGTAGTTGACAGTCAGTATTAACCACCACAGGGTGTAATCCACGTTTCGCAAATTTTAATGCGCTTAGAAATCTTCTGGGGGTATAGTTATAATCCCACTTCTGACTCAGCAGTCACTGCCACGATTTTTAACCTCTACCACCAGCCTTCCTGGGGTGCCAGCACTGGAAGTCTGTGACTCACCCTTTGAGTAGTGAGACTCTAGCAGAAAACAGAAAATACACTGATGTAAGCAGTTACCATCCGAGGGCTCGGGGAATTGGCTCAGTGGGCAAGATGCTTGCCGTACTGAGTTCTTGAGCCCAAGTTCAGGTCCCAAGCACCGGTGGAGAAGCCAAACCTGGCGGCCCAAGCCTGTGAATCCAGACAGGCAGATCCCTGGCGCTCACCGGCCAGCCAGTCTAGGTAACCAGTGACATTGAAGAAGAGGCTGTGTCCCAAAACCTCGTGCAAATGCTGGCAAGATGGCTCCGTGGGGAAAGCCACCTGCCAACAGGGCAGATGACTCAAGTTTACTTCCTCAGACCAACATGGTTGGAGGAGAGCTGATTCACATGCCATGTGCATACACAAAGTAACTTGACAACTAAATGGTAAATGCATGTTTTTAAGTAAGAGATGAGAGGCTGGAGAGATGGATCTATAGTTAAGAACACTTGCTACTTTGACCTGTAACTCCAGTACCGGTGGGATGGATCCAGTGTCCACTTCTGGCCTCTGAGTACCAGGTGGGTGCTCAGACAGACGTGCAGGCAAAGCAGTCATACACATAAAAAGGAAGAAAAAGAAAGCAAAGGATGGAGAGCAATAGAAGGTACTTGATGTCAACCTCTGACCTGTATACGCACACACATGTGCGCACACAGAGGCGACAATCGAGACAGCCCATGTGACTGCTGAAGGAAAACCTTGCCAGTGCTTTCTGTATGCAGCTCTCGCCATTTGTAAGGTTCTCGCCGTCATATCTGGTCACTATAACTACCCTGCATGCGGCACTGGGGTGGGGACTGGTCTGGGGTAGGAAGGGGGGGAAAAAGCAGCAGAGCGTGTTTCTGAAAAGGGTCTGAAAAGGGGGGAAAGTAAGGAGAGAGGAGCCCCGGGTGAGCAGAGAGAAAGAGGACGCGCCCTCAGGAGTGAGGGTTGTGTGGTTCGTTCTGTCTGCCGTCACAGTAACAAATGCCTGCTAAACAGCCGAAGAAGGGGGGTTTGTTTTGGCTCGATTTCAGGTGCTTTGGTCCATGGCGAGCTGGCTCTCTTGTTTCTGAGCTGTGGTGAAGCAGAGCGTTGTGGGGGAAGGGTATGGCAGAGCACAGTTACTCACCTCCTCACCTCGGAGGCCAGAGGACAGAAAGAGATGCCATCCTTTAAAGGCCAATTCTGGGCCCGGAAGGTGGCTCAGTGAGTGGAGCGCTTACTGTACAGGCACGAGGACCTGAGTTCAGATCCCGGCGCCCGCGTTAAAAGCCAGGCTTGGTGGGGCACGCCTGTAACCCCAGTGCTGGGGCCACCGAGACAAGCACCTCCCTGGCACTTGCTGGCCGGATGGACTAGACAATGATGAGCAGAAGGGTCCATGAGAGACCCTGGCTCAAAAAAAAAAAAACCAAAACAGTGTGGAGAGCAGTAGAGGACAACCGGCCCCGTTGTCTTTCTGCCTGTGTGCTACAGCACTGACCAAAGGAAAGGAGCTTCTCTGGCTTACACTTTCAGATCAGTCCGTCATTGAGGAAGTCAAGGGCAGGAACTCCAGCGAGACCTTGAAACAGAAACGAGAGAGAAATAAATGCTGCTTGCAGCTTTCCTCACAGGCTCAGACTTAACTAGCTGTCTTAGAGCCCAGGACTACAAGCCAGGAATGGGTGCTGCTGAGACCTCCTACATGAATTAGCAAGCAAAGAAATGCCCCCTCGACAATGCCCATAGGCCAACTGGACCTGAGCAGTTCCTCCATTGGGACTTCCTTCTCAGGTGACTCTCAACTGTGCCAAAGTTGGCAGTTAGAGCTAACTATGACCACACCCATTGACAACCTTCAGCCTCCATGTGTACATGCCCAGGTGAGTTCACATGGGCAAACACACACACATAAGAAAGAGAGACCAAAAATTACAGTGAAATTCCCAATGACCTACTTCCTCCAACTAGGCCCTACCTCTGGAAGTTTCGACCGTTAAACGATGCCATCCAAAGGATTGATCCATTGATTAAGACAGTGCTCCTAATTGGAGCCACTTCTCAATGATCAGATATTGTAGTTGGGGAACAAGCCTTTAGCACATAAGCCTTTGGGTGGCACTTCGTTGGTACTAGAACCAGGACAGATGTAGATGAAAGTAAGCCTGGGGTCAGTGCCTGCCCACACCTAGCTTAGAAGGTGTTAAGGTGGGTTTCAGAAATCACCTCCTGTAGCACTTGGGTGGGAGGCCACTGGCAGAGTGCTGGTGAGACCTGGTCAGGTGGGAGCAGACAGACTCAGAGCCAGTTCCCACAGGGTCAGGACACTCTAATGGGACATCAGAGCCCTCTGATTCTCTTCCTCCAGTGGTGGACACTGGCAAATAAGCCCGTGTTTTATCAGCCTGCTCATTGCCACATGCATGCATGGTGACCTGGGCTCTTCTTTCAAGTATCTGGCTGTGTTCTGTCTTTACATCTTTCCAGGGCTGATTGTGAAACTTTCTGTTAATTACCTTACAGTATGGTCATAGAAAAGTCTGGGGCCCTTTGGGCTTCTGTCTCAATCATGGAGACTTGCTGACGTCTCCTGAGCAGTCACTTGACTGGGATTAAAAGCCAGAGTGACTCCTTGGCTGCCACACAGCCTGGTCAGAGTCCTCTGCATTTAATACTCGGAGGACCTGGGCATGCATTGTGCTTTCTGTCTGCACCATGCTTTGATTGGATGAGATGTCTTGTCAGAAAGCATGGAAATGTAGCGCATCGAAGGGTTCTTAACTCTGAATGTCAGCACAGCCGGGGAGCCTGTTGTTTTGGGTCTAAAGATGGCACGGAAGAGTGTTAGAGCCCCCAGCCAAAGCCTTTTGCCAGTGCTGTTTGTAGTGGTGATTCAGCTTGGTGCCACATGAATTCCCTGACATGGAGAGTTAGACATAGCAGGACAGGATCTGAGAGTGTTCAGCTTCACCAGACAAGGGGTGTCAGTCTCCTGGGCCCTCAGAGCTATAGTGGAGCAGGTCATATGCCTGTGTTGTAACCCCATGAGCTCATGTTATGTGGACGCTGCTTCAGTCAGGAGGAGAGGCCTCCCCAGCATCTCCTCTGAGGCAAGCCTCCTACTCACTGATCCTGGGCAGGAAACAAAGCTGTGTGACAGGTCAACCCTTGGATGCTGTTGTTACTGCAGAGTAAAGGACAGAAAGGGGACTGCTGTCGGAGATGGAAGGGAAAGCCTGGCAGGGCCACTCCCTTCTGTACACTGCATGTCTTCGAAAGAATCCTTGAAAAAGGCTCTTTAGTGGTATGTGGTCAGCAAGAAGGACACCACTTGCCTGATAGGGGAAGATGACGTTTAAATCTTCCACTGCTCTCCGTTAGCCTACTGGCTAAGATTCCAGAGCTTCTGGAAGATCTGCTCAGTAACAGCTGCTAAAAGGCCATGCAGGAGACCAAGGGGAAAGTCTCAGGTGGCCATTCAGAAGGTAAAAGAACTTCCGGTACCTCAAGGACCGCACCTTTCAGACAGAGGCAACAGACCTAGAAAAGGAGCCTCATCTCCCAAAGCTAGCATCTGGTTAGTGGGGTATGATGTAGGAGAAGGAGAGTTGAGTAGCCATGAACGAACATGGGTGGGTAGGATGAGGAAGTTGCTTGAGTGCGGGCATGGAGCCCCTCTGCCTACATGCATGTCCCGAAGGCACACGTCTCCCTTTGGTAATGGCCAACCTGCATAAAAACGTCACAGCTAGGCATGTGGTGGCTCACACCTGTAATCCAAGCCCTCAGGATGTGGAGACAAGATTTCAGGAGTTTGAGGCCAGCCTGGGCTACATGAGACCTTTTCTCAAAATAGACAATCCCCCGTGAGACAGGCTCACTGTGTCAGCTCTCTCACCTTTTCTAGTTCAGTCAGGAAACAACCCACAGTCAAGGTAACAAGACCTGTCCTGTCCGTCAAGAGCAACTGTGCATTTCTTGCTATCGCTAGGGGGAAAAGAAACAACTCTATCTTGCAGTTGAGAAATTCCCAGCCATTCACCCATAAATTAAATGTCACTCAGGCATCCCATGACATAGGTCCTCATCTCCCTCCCTTTAGTCATCACTTCTCCCTCTCTTGTTGCATGAGTGCTATTCCCACAAAGCCCATCCCTCCCCAAGGATTGGATGTGGGGACGGAAGCTCCTGGTTTGAGTGCCAGCTCTGCTTCTTCATAGGCATGTAATCCCCTACAAGTCATTGGACCTCAGTGCCCCATTGAGCATCTGGTATATAAATTCATTGATGCCACCTCACACATCCATCTGGGGCTGGACAGATAAGGCCAGAAGGGTGGCAGGAGGGTGTGGAGGGCAACAGCTGGCGGGCAGGCCTAAGCACAGCAGCCAGCAAACAGAAGGCCACAGGGTGACAGACAGAGGAGCTGCCAGGAGCGTTCTCGTAGTTCCATCCGTGTGGGAGATGCTCGGCTGCTGCCTTCGTTGTCACTAAGCCATGTTGATTTTAATGACACCCTATGTGGGAAGACCCCTGTGCCTTTCCCTTCTCCAGTGTCGGTGGGGCTTCTGTGGATTCAGAGAAAGGTCCACGGATTCTGGGATTGAGTCCTGGGATTAGTCTTGGTTCACCAGTAGACCTGACCCTTGCTTGCAGCCCCTGTGGGAAGGCAGTGCTATGACTCCAGGGGCTGGAGAAACTTACTTTCTTCTGTCCCCTGCCCCCTATGATGCAGATGCAGCTTAATATATAGAAATGATGTCGCCTCCATCACCTCAGTTCCCAGGCAAGCTGTGACTACAGAGTGACCTCACATAGCCCCTGGCTGCTCAGACGGAAAAAAAAGAAATAAATAAGGTTGCCTTTTCTCCCAGGAACTCCAGTCATGGTGATAGCTTAAGGAGTTTGATTAATCTTGGTCTACGTATGCATTTCCCCAGTCATACACATGCTACCTGCCCTTTTGTCTAATTTTTACATCAGTGGCTTTGTTCTGTGCCCATTGAACTGAGGATTTGTGCTTGTCTGTAGATGTTAAGTTGAAAGGCGGTGATATTGGGTAGGAATCCACTCTGAACTATCTGCCCAGGAGGATTTAAACACTACATAAATGGGGGCATTACAGGTAAGAGATAAAATACATGATTCCCAGAAAGACGCAGTAGCCCATTTTTCTACTGTATTCAAGAAAGAAGCCTGAATTCTTCTTGAATGTTAGAAGCACAAGAAACATTAAAAGGAAGAGTGCTTTTTAAAAATAAATGGATTTGTTTCACTAACTAAACATAGATTTCACTTATGTATCTTGAAATTCCGCCTCGTAGTCTTAGGCTTTTTTTTTTTTTTCAGAAATGTTTCTGAGTGAACTAAATAGAAGTGGGGTGACTGGGTAGAGTATCCTGGGATGTTCTGAGTGCTTCTCTCCTCCATGATAGATGGCATGGTCCAGGACCCAGAAGTGGCTGAGGAGGATGTGTTTCGCCAGGTGTCTTGAATGGCTGGAGCACACTGATGCTGCTGGAAGGGATGCGCTGCCATGGCAAAGGCAGGGCTGACTGGCTAACCACGGCCTGTCCTAGGTTATCATTAATCAACTTGGATGAGACGCACACTCTGTATGTTGCCTCTTGTTCCTCCTACACCCAGCAAGATGTCAACGGTTCACACCTGGGAACCTAAAGCTCGTACAGGTAGACCAGCCTCTGCAGGGTCCCACGACTGGACCAGAGACGCTGAGCCACAGTTCAGCCTCCGGTTGCCCCAGGCCACACGTCCAGGGACACTTGCAGGTAGCATTGTGGGTGCACCTGCACACGGCCCTGGGGGTCAGGAGCCCACAGCCTCTGTCACCGGGACTGCCTCATCTCCCTAACGTATGGAATTAATCATTTTTAAAAGAGGCAGAAACAGCCCCATGGGGGATAGGGAGGAGAGCCTGAAAGAGGATCTCCTAGGTAATGCTGGCGGGCTAATGCATAAATCAGCAGGCCTAGAGCTTTGTGGTTAGATGGGGTTTAGGTCTCCAAGCTGTGGACAGCCAGCACGGCTCCCAGGTGACCACCTCAAGTGCTAGAGTGTGGAGATGACAAGAGGTGAGGCCGAGAGCATACGGCTCCTGTGAAAATTCACTGGGAGTCTATGCTTAAACACCTCTACCCTCGCTTCCACTTGACCCGGAAGAATATTCCTTGGTGGCCAAATCTGGTGGGAGAGAGAGAGTGGAGTGTCAAGACAGGAGGCTAGAGGAACCCTCGACCCACCAGGCAGACAGCTTCCACACCCAGGTGACTCACGCCCAGGAGCTTCACTCAGTGACAAACAGGAGAGTGTCTGATCTGACATCCCTTAAGCCCCACGCTGACTCTTTCTCACAGCTGTGGACTCCTCTCTGGTAATCCCCCCTCAGGTAATGGAGTGCTTCTGCCCGGCAGGGGCGGGGCCCGTAGCTTTGCCTTCTTGGAAAATGCTTCCCTTAAAAGCCTAATGCAATTTGTATCCAAAAAGCAAGGTGAGGATCTGGGTTTTTTTTTTTTTTCTTTCTTCCTCCCCCCCCCCCCACCCCCGCGAAAAGGTCTGCTCCTTGAATGTTGCAAGCAAATAAATTGTATTAGCAAAGCATGCAGCTTGAAAGGTCTCTGAGGGACCTCGGTGAGATAATTGGAAAGCGTGAGGAGAGCTGGCCCCAGCTTGTTTGTCTGCAGTTGATAAGAAGACACAGGAAGTAAACAGTCAGAAAGCAGCTGCTAGCAAGGTTAAAAGATCAGAATGGGAAGTGAGTGCCCGCCTCTGCCTGCCTGCGCGTCAGTCACTCCCTTCTGTTGGAAAGCAGAAGTGGCCCAAGGCTTGCACTTTGCTTGACCTGGGAGAGTGGGGTGCTCTATAGTCGGCCGGCGGGCACTCCTCAGTACAGGGACAGTAACTTTCTGCCAAGGGTAGTCCAAGGGCTGGCATGGAGGCCTTTTGTGGATCCTAGCTAGATAAGATCAAGGCTGTGGATGTTTGGAGGAAATGTGTAGTAAAATGTCACAGCCATCCAGGAAAGACTCCCTTAGGGAAATTAGAATCAGAGTGCCTTAATATTGGAGCCCCTGCTAGCCATGTAGAGGGAGCAGAGCCTGATGAGCGTGCAGCCAACTTCACCCTGACCTGTGGTGCCTAGTTTTCACCAGCTCTGCTTTGTCCTGGCATTGGTAATGTGGCATTACCAATGGAGCCGCATTGCTCCATTCAGGCATACAGTGACGGGTTTAGACTTTGATTCTGGAAATCAAGGGAGGATGCTTGGAGGAAGGGAGTGCCTTGATAAATTCCTGGGGCAGCAATATCAATGTTTCGGTACCCCCAGTGCCATAGCAACAGTTTTGGGCCTAACCTGGGAGGCCATAAGCATTGGTCGGAAGCCCTTTAGATGCTGTAAGTGAGGAGACAGCTTGTGCTGCCCTCTAAATATGATTCCCAGAACGCCTCCTGGAATTAGCTGACACCATGGCCAAGTTCAAGAATATCAGGGTGAAAGAGAAGTGGAGAGGGATTTGGCACCAACTTTTCCGTGGCTGGAAACTGTGTGTCAGCACCATTGAGCGGCCTCCCAGTCAGCCAGCTAGGCTCTCACCCCACCCTCTGCGCCTGAGCTTGGGTTCCTGTTGGTGGCAACTTCACAAAGCACTTGCCGAGCTTAAGTTCCCCCACCTAACTTCCTAACATGTTCTGTCCTCTGGGGTAGAGGGAGTGGGGCCACCGCCTCCTTCCTGTGCATTTTATGGACACCTTTCTGTGTGTTGGGAAGCACGTGGCATCCGGCCTGCAGTTCTGTATGCAGCTCCAGCAATGCTCTGGATTTTCCATAGTCTGTGTGCTCGATGGTTTCTGACAGAAAATGGAGCAGGAACCATCCTCTGCCCTAAAGGATATGAAATGCTGAAGGGGAGCATGGGGAGTGGGGACCACCTGACTGAGACTCTGGGCTTCCAGGCTGCAGAGTGTGAGGGTTGTGCCAGCAAACGTTCGATAGAGCTGTGGAGAGAATGTTTCACCACCCAGGAGAGCGCATGCTTTTATGCCTACAATCAGTATTCATACACACATATCACCCAACAAGACAGATCTAATAAACTCAAAAAAATGGACTCAGCCACCCTCCTGCTCTTTCCTCCAGCAAACAGTCCACTAGGCTGCCACTCATCCTAGCTACATTTGTAACTCCTTTCCCTTAACTCTTGAACTCATTCTTGGTGATTATAGTACTGACTTTGGCTGCTAGAACCAGGCAGTAGTATCATTGCTACCATGGGTGTGTAGCCATTTAAAAAAACAAAACAAAACAAAGAAGTCTATAAAGAGGTATAAAGCTCCACCTGAAAAATGCTGTGAAGTGGATTGTCTTTCTCTAGTGCATACGTTGACAGTCCTGTAAGACCTGACTCTGTACAGTGACACTTCGTAGAATGCCTGCAGAGAGTCTCATGGGGAAGGGGGAAGGACATGTACAGAGAGGGATATACAGGTGGATGGGACTCTGAGTTGTCACCTTCACTGGCCTTCCCGCTAGAGTCTGTTCCACAAAGAAGAAAAAAATGGCGGTGGGCAGGGTCGGGTGGGGTGGCGTCTTGTGTACTTGTTAGCCCCGAAACTCCCTAACTTATAAAGTGCTGTCGGAGACAACCTGTATGATGAAGCTTGTGACCCTCTGGAGATTGGGAATAGGCATGGGATAGGTGAGCTCCGGCATTCTTCAGAGGGGGCACTCTCCTTGCAAACCACTTTTGGGTCAGTAAGTACACACCAGCTCTTCAGTTCCTTGAGAACTCTGTGGGCAGTAGTAATGGTAGCACGTTCCTAGCCTGCCCTCACAGTAGCAGCAAAGCAGTGACCCTGGACAGAGCTTAAGTCTTGAGTTTTCTGTTCTGTAAACCCAGTTGAAAGAGCTCAGAAAGAACACCATTGTTCTATTAGCTGGTGTGTGTGTGTGTGTGTGTGTGTGTGTGTGTGTGTGTGTGTGTGTGTGTGTGTGTGTGTGTTGAGACAGGGTCTCACTATGTAGCCCTAGCTGGCCCAGAACTCACTATGTAGATCAGGCCATCCTTGAACTCACAGAGCCTCTGCCTTCCAAGTGCCCAGATTAAAGGCGTGCGCCACCACACCCAGCCATGTGTCTTCGTGTCTGTTCAAAGGCAAATAGAAGTGCTTTCCCCTGAACAAAGCAAAGGATTTTAGGAAGTTAATTATCAGGGTAGGCATAAAACAAACAAGAAAACACTGGATTCAGTTAACTGTGTCAAAATTGAAAACTCATAGACCCTTGAAAGAATCAGAAAATCAGTGAAAATTGCCAAAATCTCTATATACAACTATAGGAATGTTCTAGTCAGTTCTCAGCTAGTGGAAAATGCAGGGGAAGCTGCCTGAGTAGCATTTCAGAAGCCAGCTTGGATGCTGGATTCAAGAAAGGGGAGATTTTTGCCAGATCGTTTCTTATTAAGTCTCAAAAGGGCCAGCCCTGCCTTGCCTGGCACAGGCAGCTGGCCCCCTCCCTCTCCACTCTGACCTCTGGTTTGCTCAACGTGGCAGCCCTGGGTGCTCAGGGCCTAGGATCCAGGAGTGTCACTCCCAGTGGTGAACTCTGCCTTCTCCCAGTCCCTGTGGGTACCCAGGGAACACTTCACCTGTGGCCCCAGATTGACTTGAAAGGGTGATTGTGCAGCTGGCTGTTGGTAGGGATTTCATCAGAAATGGGTGCGGTTCTCTCTGCTGGCACGAGCTGGTCTTTGTTATGCTGTATCATCCAAGAACAACTCTTAACTGAGTCTAGGAAGGGTAATAGGTCACCACAGCCCAGCTGAAGATTATATAATGTGCCTGTCTTGGCAATGTCACTCTGAGCTCACAAGCAGCCAGACTGACACCTCAGCTTGTGAGCAGCTTGGACACCCCTCCTGATAAAAGAGAAAACAGGGTCTCTGAAACCTTATCCCAAGAAAGGAAGTAATTTAGGTGGGAGTCAAGTTGTTATCTAGGTTACAGCATTGTCTCCAAGGGAGCTCCGTGACCTTGGGTAAATGGCATTATTGATTTATAATGATTTTGCACAATACCATGCAGTTTAGGGGACACATTCACAGCCACTTGTTCCTTATAGTCACCAAGTACAGTAGCTGGTGATCTGTTTTTAAAGAAAGAAAGGAAGCGAGAGAGAGAAAGAAAGAAAACCATGAGCTAAATGAGCTAGCTCATTCGGTGCTGTGTGCATGGAGAAAGTCATCTGTATCTCTGCCTACGTTCTGATCCAGTCCATTGTTCTTCCTACAGTTACAGACCTGTGGTAGAAGTGTATAGAAACTATGAAAGAGCAATGTCAGTGTGGTTTGGGTTGACTCAGTTCTTATTGGTAGCTTATTTGAGGGTAGCAATGAAATTCCAGGTAGAAGGTCAATTTTGTTTTTCAGTTAACAAACTTTATTTTTTTTTTTTTGAGCAATCTTAGGTTTACAGAGAAATGGAGCAGGAAGTACATTTTCCCATGTATCACTTCTCACCTCCTCTCTTTCCCTTTCCTTCGTTCCCTTCCTTCCTTCTCTCCAGTTAGCCCAGTTACAAGTGTGTGCTCCTGGAGCACACATGTTGCAGCTGACATACAAATACTAGACACTGTTGTCAAAGTCATGGTTTGCATTAGGAGCACTCTTGGTGTTACACATCCAGTGTGTTTAGACAAATGTGTGGTTTGTAATTACAGAGTCAAACAAACTAGCTTCACTGTCCTAAAAACCTCCGTGCCTCATCGGCCTCTCCCTTCTGAGCCTGTAGCGTCCACTGATGTTACCAGCACCAAGTTGTAATGTACTTTTTAAGAGTTTTTAATATATAAATTCCAAAGTCACCAAGCATTAAGAGAAAATGCACTCTAAAGAGTAGTTACTTTCTTCTTCGGTATAAATGGTCCAGCCTTGCTCACCAAAGGGGCAATTGATCCCAGGTCTGCTGGGCACCCTACATGTCTGCTTTGGCAAAATCGTTCCCTCAGTCTCCCTCCTCCTCTAAGCAGCCGTAGGGGGTGAAGACTGAACTCCAGCCTGGCCTCCCCATACCTTCTTTTAAATCATGTCACTCTTCTTGTGTGGTAAAATACATAGAGATGCAGCTGCCATCTGGGTTGAAGAGATAGCCTTTGCATCTAGAATCTTCCCAAACGGGTTACTTGGGAGTAAAGCAACAGTTCCATTTTCTAGAACTTGTCCTCTCTTCCATGACCCATGTGCTGACCCTTCATCCCCCCCTCCCCTCATGTTCCAATCTTTCTATAAAAGAAAGAAGGGTTTGGGAGGTAACCTTCCCTTGTTTAGTCAGTAAACAGAATTCTCTACCTGAGCAGGCTCCCTCTGAGGAGGTGATGGATTCTCTGGAGTCTTTCTCAGAACAGCATCTTCACTTGAACCTGGGAAGAAAACACCTGCTTCTCAGAACAATTAGCATCTGCAACACACAGTCCATCCTCCTGCACTCCAGCCTCTGCCCTTCCTCTCCCTGGCTCTGCTCCCCGCCCCCATACACACACACTCTCCCTCTTTCCAGTCAAGGACACGTTGAAGTGGCTGGTCAGTGCCACCCCCGTGTCTAAAACTTCAGTATTTCTCCTTGCAGGGACTTTTCCAACTTTACCTAGAAAAGAACTAAGCAGAGCCTGAGCACTTGTGGTCAGCCAGCTTCCGCCTGTGGCTTCAGTTAGTCTGTGTTCTCTGACGGAGGAAGTATTTGCAATGATGGGAACTGCCTGACTGGATTGTGGGAGGACCAGGGCAGACGGTGCCTCATAGCATTGGCATGCGAGATGCCAGCAGCAAGCCGAGTGAGGAGAGCAGAGAGGGATAGATCAGACCCAGAGTGGCAGATGCTGTGCGGTACCCCACCCCAACTCCATACATTCCCCAAAGTTCAAATTTATTTATAAATTGAGTATCTCGGTCAAAGATGGCTTTCCCAGAAAGGCAAGCAAAACCAAGACAATGGCATGTTTTAGATCCTGAGAGGACCTCAGGGCGAGAGTCTGCAAACAGGGATGTATAGGTCTTCACACACTGGCTGCAGAGTTGTGGGTGACAGGAGTTGTGGATGACAAGCTAGTAATGACATAAAAAGTCTCAGGATTCAAATTCATCATCACCACCCACTTACTCCCCCATACACACACACACACACACACACACACACACACACACACACACACACACACACAGCACCTTCACTGTGGTTGAAATATTCTGAACATTTTCTTTTCAGAATATGATTCTCCATGTAGATCAGAACCCTGCTGGTGAGAAACCTTACCCCAGCAGGAGCTTGCCCTACTGAGCCACATGCAAAACCACCTGGAAATTGAGAAAGAGTTTGGCTAGAATTGCTGATTAATTTTAACTACTGCGTAATTGGAGATTTGACCTAACAGCCAGGTGGTTAATTAAAATACCGGGGATACCAAAGGTCTCACATTTGAGGATCTGTCCATTTCAGTGCAGAACAGAACAAGGTCTGCCCACCATGGAACTCGGATTCTGTTCTACTGAGCTTGTCTTGTATGAGTTAGAATTTTAGTGGGGTTCCTCCCACCCAAGTTTCATATTACAAATTTAAGGAAGCACCAAAGGAGAATTTACAGTGAAGAGGTCTATCCCAGAAAACTTTTTATGCTTTTTCCTACTCTTGTATGGAAGACCTCCTAAAGAAACGGAGAGTGAATGTTATCCCAGGGTCAGAATACCTGACCCATAGTAGCCCACAGCAGATACATGGCCTCTCATGCTACCTAAGTTTGAAAGAGTGTTCCACAGCACTCTTTCAGTTTACTGTGGTTTAAAGATGCATTGTCTCTGTGGGCGGGTGGCTTTATGAACTCTTGAGTAGGGCCTTCATGTCCCAGGGTCACAGGTGTTCCATGTATGGAGCAGGACAAAAAGGAGAGGGATGGGGAGCAAAAGTTCGGTCAAGGATCCTTAGCTGGAAAAAGTGTGCATTTCGCATGTGTTCAGAGACCTTCCTGCAGTCACAGCTGGAACTGGGAGGAAGGTGGGAGTTTGCTGTAGCACAATCTCATTGTAATCTGTCATCGTCCAGTCAGGTGTTACTGTTCCCTAAATCCAAAGCTGTGTGCACACCCGTGCATAGATCTTCCTGAGTCTTTTGAACACCTCATTTACATGGACTCTCTGGAAATTTGTCTTCTGTTTTTATAGAAGGTTTGCTAAGCAGATGACCACATGGGGGATTTGAGAGTGTGACCTTAGATGAGCTCACTACCAGTTTGGCCTTGGAGCATCTATTTGCTCAGCAGTAGTAATAAGTTAATCACACATGAGCCTGTGACAACTCACTGTGCATGCCCCCCTATCTGGTAAGATGGAGTCTCTTCTCTCACATCTCCTTCCCTTTCTTTTCCTTCATTTCCTGCTTCACACTTGGCTCCTCTCTCTCTTCCTATTCCAGACCTCCCCTTGTGCCACTAGACAGCTACAGTCCAAGCTACCTTGCCTGTCTGCCCTCATCTCCTTCTCCAGCCACACATGTGGTCCATTACACCTGTGCCCTGTTCTAGTGAGGACATCCTCATGCGTGCTCCCTTCAGAGTCTGGCGCTGGACTCCTTTAGACCTCCTGTGCAGAGCATTCTCACCAGCTGGTCCTGTGGCAGACTTTTCTGTCCCCATCAACTGCTCCCCAAATAACCACACAGAGACTTATTATTAATTATAAATGCTTGGCCGATAGCTTAGGCTTATCTCCAGCCAGCTCTTACAACTTAAATTAACCCATTTCTATTAATCTGTGTACTGCCCCAAGGCTCATTTACCTCATCTGTGAACTTCCTCTGTTGTTTCTTCCCTGTCTGGCTTGTGACTCTCAGATTCCACCCTTCTTCTTCCCAGCATCTTCCTAGTCTGGCTTTCCCACCCAACCCTTCCTGCCCAGCTATAGGCCAGTCATCTTTTTATTAAGCAACGAGAGTAAGACATATTTACAGTGTACAAAGATTGTTCCACAGAAGATTCTGTTCTCAATATTTCTCTCTGCTGCTCATTTGACTCAGCACAGCCTGCTTCTTTCTTGCCTGGACATCTCCACTCCTCATTCTCATTACAGGAACCTGGCAGTGAAAGCCCTGCTCCCTACTTAGGTGTCCAAAGCAAATATGTCTACCTTTAAAGAGGTCCCATGATCCAGATGCAGTGTCCGTGTCTGTGTGGCCGCTGAACCATCATCAGTGCCAAGCTTGTGAAATAAGGGCTCCTACAGTTTATGTTGAATTTGTTAAACTTTTAAAATACTTTCAGTGCTTTTACATACTCGAGCTCAAATAACTATAAGGTGCCCACCCATATACTCAGTTACAATGATACACAATTTGTAAATACAAGTTAATTCTTAAAATCTTACTTGACAAATGGGCTTTAATCCTGTCTCCTACACCCAAGTCAGAACTTGAGTTGCTCACATCTGTGGTGGTGAGATCTGTAAACCTCCCACCCCACCCCATCCCAGCTGACGGTGTATCCATGCATTCTTCAGAACTTGAAAGTGACAGTAGGATTTGGGATCTTTGTTCCCCTTCTCTGGAATCATTCTACAAACATGTAGTGAGGCTGGTTATCTGGGGCCTTTGGCTAAGCTGGACTTCTGTGGGCTCCCTGTGTCCCTTCACAGGCTGGTTGGCACTGATGAGAGAGAGTTCACTACCCAGCAGCCCCATGCTGTCGTCTTCTGGAACATGGGCTTCATTTCTCCCTCAGCATTGCAACCCTTGATTGTGAGCTGCTTCCTTGGTAGGAACACGGAGCTCTATGTCTAAATGATGGACACAGGTGTAGAATCTCGTCAGTGGCAGGCCACTGACACTCTTCTGTGGAAGACTGATTACTGGCAGAGAAACTCCTGATTTTCACGCTAGTGGCTTTGAAATGGTGTGTTTTATGGGCTTGATCTTTTACCTGTCATTCTGTTGAGAAACTGATTAAAATGAATATAGGGTGGCATGAACGTTTGTCATGGGGTATAGCAGGGTAGACACTGCCATTTTTCTCTTTCAGCAGAAAAGAATAATGGAAGCTCATGTGAGTAGAGTCCATGAAGGATCACTCCATCCTCCCACAAACACTGACTGTCTCCGGTGGTCTAGTCACTTTGGAGGTGTTGCCAGCCCTCACCTTACAGAGTAGTGAGTTCCTGGGAATGAGTTCCTGGATTCCTCCAGTGTCTTGAGGTGTGACTGAGCTGGGGGTGTAGCTCAGTTGGTAGAATGCTCGCCCAGAGCCACCTAAAGTAGACATGGCGGTACATATGTATTCTTCTAACCGTCAGGAGGTAGAGGCAGGAGGATCATGAGTTCAGGGTCACCTTAGCCACACTGTGAGTTTTAGCCTCCCCCCCCCCCCCCCCGTCCCCAGAATAAAAGGTGTGCTACCATGGATTTGCCTTCTTTAGTTTGCACCTGGTCCTTGCAAGACTTCTCCTGCAAGATCACTTTAGAGGAAGACAGTTTAACGGTCTCCGTCGATGTGTCTTATCTAGATGTGAGTCTCCAGAGGATTGATTTCTTTATTTGAAGCATACTAACACCCTCAACAGAGGTTGGCCAACACAAATCCAAAGTCCAAACCCAGTGAGCCACCAACATTTGTAAATAACGTTTTATTGGCATACAGCTGCATCTTTTTCTTTTGCTTAATGCCTATAGCTGTCTGGGGACGTGGGCAAGGGTAGTTATAGCAGAGACCATATGGTTTAAAGACAAAAATAATCAGTATCAGAAAAGACTGACTCCTAGAAAAATGCTGAGAGCCAGTAGTAGATCAAAGCAACAATAGTGCATTGTTCTTCCGTGCAGGGGTGTTTTGAAAAGTATATGCAGTGTATACCGATAAGATCAAAGTGGTCCAGGTGAGAAGGACACTGGCTAGATCCGAAATGAGTCAGTTCCCCTGGATCTCGCCCTTCATTCCTGCCCCTCTGATCAGAACCTGAGTATGAGGCATGCTATTCAGGAGAAAGGCATCATGGGCAGAAGGAAGTGAGGTGAGAGAAGGAAAAGTCCCTCTTTGCTAACCAGAGGTGAGAAAGACCATTCACATGCACAAGCTGTAACATCAAAAGGATAGGGTTGGGTGGGGCCGATGGCCCTGCCTTGTACAGTGAGCAGCATCCAGCTGGAAGGGACACGGAGACACCTTCCTCCCATAAGCTCACAACCTGGAAATGGATTGAGGAGCCCATTCCTCATCCTCAGTCTATTAACAATCCCTTTCCCCAAACAGATTCATACATCTGTCCATTCAAATGCCAGAAGAGGTGAGAACTTAACATTTGTTTCACTTCTAGAGTGATTGTAGATGGTTTTGGTTTTCCAGTGTGATTCTCTCGGAGCACGATGTGAGGTCCCTAGAGCAGTCAA